TAGTTGTTTCGCTTTGTTGGTTAAATGTTCCAATTTCAGCACGGAGATTTTAATTGTTAGCAAACTCGAGAAAAATATTTCGTTTATGTGTTTTTCTTCCCCTCCCTAAAACCATACATTCATATTCTCTTCTTGTGAAAAGGTTAGTTTCAGGAGAAGTTTATAAGCAGAACTGGGGTGTTGCTTTGCAAAGTACATTATTGGAAAAGACTTTTTTTTGGTTGTTGCTTTGTTTTTCTTCCCCAGTAGGGAAGAATCTAAGCCAAACTAACATGGTTCTTACATTTAAGTATGACACAGCTATGATTAAAGGAGGAATCTGATCTATTCATCTCCTGCAACTGCACCTCTAATACCTAAGTCTAGACCAGAACAAGCACAGAATGATGGGCACTTGCAGCGTGCAGACTCTGGTTGGAGTAGATGAGTGATGACAAAACTGACATCAGCTTCTGCACCTCTCTGGCAGCTGCCCATCACCCATCCTGCAAAGCACTGGAAGGAGCTGGCCCAGCCCCGGAGCCATCAGGAGCACTTTGTGTCCCAAACATTGCTTCTCAGCATGGCTGTTTGGTTAGGTGGAAAGACGAGAAACCCGGGATGGGCAGCACAGGCTGGCGTTGCATTGCTTTCTGTCCCTGCACTGTGCATTGAACTACATGCACAGGGGCCAATTCCTCCTCAGTACAAAGCAACTGGCTTCAGGAAATTACATCAGGGCCAGCGTTTAAAATACAGAAAATACACAATAATATATTTGAATAGTATGCACTTTGACCATAATGACATTTAGGTGGGGAAAAAAAATGGTAAGTGACCATCTGCTCCCAAGCTTGTTTCTGCTGTGTAAAGAATGTCAAGGGTCTTTTTTAACTTTTCCGGATGCAAACAAATGGTTTATTCAGCAAGGATCATGGCTACAGCCCAAGACAATCAGCCAAGTGTGGGTTCGGAGAAAAAATGACTTTTCAGCTCTAACCCCAGACCCTCCTTTCCATTTTTTTTTCCAGCTCATTAAGTTTGCATTAACAAAACATCACCATTCAAAGGCAGGAAGGCTATTCAAAGCATTTGTATTCTTAAATGCCTCCAACAGTGAAAGACAAACACTTTACTTGTATTATCAGGTGATTAAGTTTGCTTTTCCATGTATATAAATTATATTACTTGTACAAACACATAAAGAGGACATCGGATCATTCACATCAGGGCTGCAGGTTCAAAACCTTAAGGTCTTAGTCCAGCAAAGCACTTAAAGACACAGACAGCCTTAAAGCTTAAAGTGGTTACAGGGATTTGTTGGATCAGAGTTTAACTGTATTATTAAAACTACCTTTGTCCAGCTGGAGGCATCTGTGATGAGGGCTAGGAGGAGGGAGGGGAATGGTGTGTGCTGCTGTGCCTCCTGGTGCTTGCCAGCCCCGTGGGCATCCCTAGCCGCCTCTCCAGAGGCATGGGGAGAGGCCCCTGAGCTCGTCATGTTTTCCTCTGCTCAGGTTCCCTGTGGTGGCCCCAGTAGGCACAAACAGTGCTAAGCTCCTGAGCAGCACAAACTGAAATCGCAGGTCTGCAGCAAAGAGGGAGGCCGGCACCGCTGCTGTGCCCCTGCTAGGCCCTGCATTGGGGGCTTAGCAGTATAATTACATTAATACAATTAATACATAAGAATCCCTCCTTTGGCTACACTTACAATGTTACAGCTTGTTACATTCTCCTGTGAAAATCACTAGCTATTAATACACAGAGGATATACGCACATTAGGAGATTGATACACTGGGCACAATTAAGTTATTCCTACCTGCAAAAATCTGGTTTTCTTTAGAACAAATCTATTTAACAGCAGAAGAACAAATAAAGCCACAGTTGCTTTGAGCTGGTCCCAGAAACCCTAGTTATCTTTCACTTTGCTTTGAATTTTCTTCATGAGTTTATGGTAGCGCCAGGCTGGAGCGTTAGCATAAGGAATTTCAGCTCCAGATGGAAAAATGAGGCCAGATGAAAGCAGGTCGTCTGCTCGAGGAGGAAGAGGCAAACAGCCTGAAATTTCCAGTAGGTCTGAGGCCACTTATCTGGGCAGTGGAGCTGCCCAGTATGAAGCCCATGCAGACTTGCTAGCCTTTTCCAACTCTTAAAGAAAGTTAACTGTGGATCCAACTTACTCTGATTTTTAGGAAGAATTTTTACTGTCGTCATTACTGTTTAAAAGAGCTGCTACATTAATTCTGCAATAAGGATGAACTTATTTTTTGCCTGCGATTATTTTTATTTCCTCGCTAATAACCAGATTATCTCAGTTCAGGTAGCAGGACAATGGGACAGTATTCTAGTCTACCTATAAATTAATTCAGCAGAATGAGGCACTGTAATATAACTGTTCATATTATAGTTCCATTTATGGACCTCAGCCAAGATTATTCTCATACACCACTAGGAAAACCTATAAGAGAGGGAGAATCCCTGTCTTGCTGAAACACGTAGACCTTGAAATAAGTCAGGGAGCCACAAAGCAGTGAAGTGGCATCCCTGGGGCTTCTACATCACACACAGGAGCACAGCAATAGTGTCCTCAGACCCCATGCAATGCATTCACATTGCCTCAAGGCAGTATTTCTCAGTCTGCATCAATTTTTGATATGGCATTTTTGTAGTCTATATCTCAGTCGGTATCAAATTTTGAAAAGCATTTTTAATCAGCTCTATTTTGAAAAAAATTTGCACCAGCTTTAGTAGAACGTATTCATCAACAAGAAACTTTGAACTGTAATGGCAAATGCTTATTGCAGTGTTTATGATAACCTTTTATGCTAAAAATAGCTCCTGTAAACAAGCTTTGATTAATTCCCACTGTCAGGATGTGCTCTGTTCCCAAGTTTAAGAACACTTTTTCCGTAGATGCTTGCTCATTTCCTTCAGTCCAACCTCTTGGAATGAATCTGAAGGCTCAAACTCTAGGCTCTCCTTACTGCTCAGGTACAAACAGACCCCTAGCAAACAGCCTCCGCTCTTTCAACAGCTTTGTTCTGACCAAGAGGTGCATTTTTTGGGGGCGGGTGGCGGGGGCCTTCTACAAGGGATCACATCACCAACTCCACAGACTTGTCAAGGTTTGCTCTTATCCTGAATCCAACAAGTACCAGAAAGTTGCTCAGATGCTGTGCATAGTAGACACGAGGCTGCAAGTCCTCTAGAGGATTGTAAAAGCTGCTTGGTGCCAGTCATCACAAGTTAGGGAATATGTAAGAGCAAATTTAACCTGCATCAGAGAGGGCAATTTTGGGACAGACCTGTCTCTTCCCAGTTTCTTTTTTTGCATTCGGGGAAAGCAACAGATTTCCCACTTCCCCCCCCTTGACAGAAGGTACATCCTGTGCAAGGGGTTATTTTCAATACAACCAATAAATGCTTTCTTTTTTCACAAAAAAGCTACTCTTAAACCTGAATCTTCCTGAAGGCTCCTATCTCTAGGAGCACAAGAAATTTTGCTAAAGAAAACACTTAATGTTAATGCTGCAATTTTACTGTAGTTTGTACCTAGCCAAATCCCTCAGATTCTACTCTGAGAAGGTGCTTTGAGTCATGCTGCAATTGATGATGAGTAGAGGAACACAGCATCACATCAGACCAGGCTTTCTGAGCACACCTTCTCCCCAAAAGGGATGTCACTTCAGGCAGCTGAGGGTCGGTACCCATCTCCACTCACTCCTACCAGCACAGCTGGCACAGAGCTAGTTTCCAATTTAATGAAAGCAAACAAGTGGACAAGCTATTTTTAAAGCACTGTTTTATGCCACAATGGTCTGAGATTAGATGCAGCTTGTCCAGACATTCAAAAACAATGTCCACATCAGTTCTCCTCGCAGTTTGTGCTCTCCCTTAAAAGCACAGAGAAAAGCTATTTTTTCCCTTCTGCTTCCCACTGGTTTTCCTGCTCTGTTGTCTCCCTCTCTTGAAACAACTTCACACTGGCTTCCTTGTGGCCTCCCTTCTCCCAAACAACTTCCCGTCTGCTTCCCTGTTCCCTCCCCATTTCTTCTGCTGTCTGCTTGCACAGAAGCGACTCCCACCCAGCTTCCTTTGCTGGATTCTCTGCAGAAAAGACACCTGGGTGACTGTACAATTAACATGAGATTGTAGCAAGCTGATAAAGCTGTGCTTTCCTGATTAGCCTAACTAAAAAGTCAGCAGTCATGGCACATTGGTGCCAAGGTGTAGTAACTCCTATCACATGTGCGGTCCAAATAAACACTTAAAATTACTGGCACCCCATATGGGCTTCCTAAAGTGAATTCTCTTTCTAATATTCAGACTACAACACACTGAGTAAACCTTAGAAACTACCACAATACTAAGGGAGACAGATCTATTATTGTGTGGAAAAAGACAATTATTTTTCTTTTGCCATCCATTCATACCCGAAAAGCACAAGCTGTACTAGGGAATAGTAAGATACAAATACTGGTATTGGTCTTTCTGACCATGCTGAAAGACATAAGCTCCTAAATCCAAAAGCTCCAATATAGATGACCACCAAACAGCCAAATTTTAGCAGCAACTTTATGGGATCAAAGCCTTTACTTGAACAAAGATCTATTCTAAATTTATCCCAATGACACTAATGCAGTGACGGCAAAATGTATTATGCCAACAGAATTAGAAGACAGCTTGAAAAATATTTAAGAGGTCATAATTAAATGATATTTCTACTAACATTCCAATTATACCGCGTACTGTTGTGTGCACAACATGGAAACAGTATTATAAAGCCATTGTTTCAGTTTGCTTCCTGTGATACTAATCTCAATCAGGCCGTCAGACTAACAGCCTGCATTTCTAAATGTTAAAGGCTTCCTCTCCAACATTCCCACACAGAATTGCCTACTGTGAAAATCAAAGGGAAACGCGTTACTAAGTAAAGAAGCAACTTTTATAAAGCAAAGCCTGGTATTTTTTACCCTTTTGAACTCTGAGATATACAACCAGCTATTTCCTATTATGATAGGATGCAAGGGCCCGGCGGAGGCCCCGCCATGGCTGCAGGAGAAGCGCGCCCACAGCCCAGACGCTGGGCCTTCCAGCAGCACGTAGTGCCGAGCTCAATGCATGCTCAGACTCCAGGCTCTGCCTTTCACCTGATGGAAGAATGTAGGCACAGATCTCCCAAGGTCTCAGCTTTCTGCCAGCTAAATAATCGTTCTGCAGGCACAGCTAGCCAAAAAGTCGAGTTACACAAGCGAAAAGCTCTGTTCCAAGTCAGAGAATGGTACAACAGGGCATCAAGCGTTCAGTGCCAAGGGACCGAGGCTGGCACACTGCCTGAAATCATCCATCTGAAGCATGAGGATACCCCATCCCTGGAAGTGTCAAGGCCAGGTTGGATGGGACTCAGGGCAGCCTCAGCTGGTGGGAGGCAGCCCTGCCCATGGCAGGGGGCTGGAATCAGTTGGGTTTTAAGTCCCTTTCAACTCAAGTCATACCACGATTCTGTGTGCTTGCAGAAAGATGAGGATGCAGTCCCACGAAAGCTCTCGCTTGCCCTGTTCCCAGTAAAATTGCCATTTTACTGGCAACAAACAACATTATTAAATATAATGTCTTCCACCAGGAGCTTTTGATATAATTAATAATAAATAACAAAAATACTAATCAAGTAGTATGTTTTTCTCTACTAACTTCTGAGGTATTTACCAAGCTGTACCCCAGGCTTATTTTAGCGACATTGTTTGTGCGTGTATATGTGTATATATATATATATATATAAAAGTACAGTAAATGTTATTTCAATGTCCTAATTAATGACAGAACACAAACTCCCACTTAACTCCAGTTTACACTAAGAGTCTAGCCCAAATAATCAGTACTGTTCCATGAAGACAACATAAAGCAAAGAGGTCTGCAGGCTCGGGTAGGTGTTTGTCTCTCACGAGAGGCATGCTCCAGTTCTCTGCCACCCCATAGAGTTCCCAGTTAATCTGTCAGAGATGACAGAAGAAGCTCTGTGCTACCCAGCGCTGGAGTTAGGCTCCTTAAATGCAATGCAGAGTTAATTAACTCTGAATTAACAGTCTGCTAGATGCGACTGTCAAATGGGGGCAGTTTTGGTTGGGGCTTGGAAAGAGGAAAACCAACAGGGATCTCATAAGCCACTTCCATTTCACTCCATGCTCTTGGCAAAATCTCTTCATATGGAGTAAAAAAATAATCATTTTGAATTAAATTAGACATCCTAATAGAGAAAATTTGTGTCTTTATGAAGACTGACATTGCTCAGCTGACCACAAAGACTTTGATTCCGCTCTCACAGGAACAGGTCAGAAAAACAACACCTTTCCAACATTAGCTGCATTAAGTAAGTACTGTACAACAGGCCTGAATGGCAGAAGCTTTTCAAAAACTCTCACCTGCCAAAAGTTTGCTTAGAAATACCTATATTCAATTTTCCTGCTTTGTCTCCTGAGGGGAAGAAACAGTACTCAAACTGATATAAATTTGCTTTGGTTAGAATAGCACTCTACCTATGTGAATTTCAGGAATCTCAGCAAGTGTACACTGCACAATAATAATTAAAAAATATATATTTCAAAATCATTATTCTGATAAAGAAAGTTCTCTCTCTGATTACCACTGAATTCCAAAGCCTGATAGGTTTCTCTTTCCAATATTCGGAGCTAAACAGTTTCAGCTTTCTTGTTTAGCTTGATTTAAGCATTAGCCAAACCTGGAAGAATATAAGTAGCAGATGAGCAATAAATTACAAGTACTCAGTGGTTTTCTAGCTTGAGTTCTTTCATTTCCACATATTCCCCACGTCAGAAAATAATATCCAACTCTGCTAAAAAAATCAGTCCCTTCAGACTAACTTAAGCTCAATCCCTCAAAAGGGAAACATTTAAAGATTTTGAAACTCTGATCCACACCTCCATGGACAAATCTGCATCAGGTGACTTAATCCAAACCAGTATTTTAACTGGGGAAGCAGATCAGACTAAAGGCTAAGAAAACAACTAACATAGAAGAGATTTGGAACATCGTTAAAACACAGTCTGTCACAACTGTAACATTTCATTTCCAGATTCCTGTCTAACTGCTTGGTCACGGTGATACCTCAAGAAAATGTATATCGACTACACAAATCACACTGGCTTTCAAGCAGTGTCACAGAAGACACACCAAAGTATGCAAATATATGAAAAATATATCAATATATTGAGTCGTCATCAGTATCAAATAATACAATCTTAACCCTTAACACTTAAGAAGTGCTGAACCAAATATTTTGTCTGTAGAACTTTGTCAATAAATGGAAGTGTATTTGAAAAGTTCACTTTAAATTCAATGGTTTTCAGGTCAGCAAATATTTCCTTCTCACAATGACAGCATCAAACTATTTTCTTTGAACATCCACAGACACAAGCATTATTTATATTATCTGTTACAATCCTGCAGAAATTTGCTTTTCCTATGCTGTACAGTCACTAGTTCATCTAATGTAAATATTTGTAAAGCTGAAGCTGGTTGTGGTTTTTTGTTTTGTTTTTGCTTTTTTTGTTTTGTTTTTAATGAGAAAGCCACTAAAAAATTGGCTTGCTGTATAGCATTTTAAAGAATGTTTACCTATTTAATGCACTTCAAGCATTAATTACATGGAGATATCAAAGATTATTTCCAAATGCCGTTTAGCAAATAAACTTTCCTTTTCACAGAAGTAAACACTAAAATCCAATTCTATAAGTTAAGGTAAAAAGCCCATATTTCATAAAATAGTCGTAATAGAGTCCAAAATAGCTACAAATAAATGGGGCATACAGACATAGAACTGAATCTGTTGTATCCTTCAGACTAAGAACAACAAACTAACAACATACTTTTCCAGGGGATGAGATACTTCCTAATGGCATTTATTAAAGCAGTTGTTATGGTATGACTCAATTTTTCTAAAGAGAGGGAGGGCAATTGTGACCTTATTGGGAGTTTTGCCATAAATGAAGTAGAAGACAAAATTTTGGCTTTGCTTTTCACAAATAGTTCAACATTTCTTTTAACATATTCTTGACACATAAAGTCAGTATAAAAATTTCCCCAGACACAACAGTTATTCTCACTGATTCTACATGCTATTCAAACAACAAATTTCTATCAATGTGATTATGCAAATATAGGTGCAAAATAAGAATAGTGTTTGTTTTATCAGTTTTAACAGGCTAAAAATGTAATGCTAGTTTAACATTTCAGATTAGTCCAAAATAAGCAATACTGATTAAATAGAATCCATTCATATCAATGATTTAAAAGTTGTTTACTTTAGCTCTCTCACTCTGCCATATATAGACAACCTACCGTTCATTACCAGTGTGTAGAACAATCACGCTTTTAGAACAAAGTATTGGACCTTTGGAACTTCCCAGCTGCCTTCTGAATGCAGTGGAATACACATGCTTGCCATGCAATTAGATGTGCTTGTTTCAGCATGGAAGCTTAAGGTATATGTCTGAGTTCTGATTAAATTCCTAAAAGCTCAAAACATTGTAACTGACTTTTATAGACCACATTCAATTGTTCTTAGAGTTCAGATCTTACAGATGCAAAAATGCATCAGTTGTTAGTTGGATAATGGAAACCTTATATGACTACTGTCACTCAGATTTTCTATCTCAGTTCAAATATAGACGGTACTTTTTGGGGAAACAAAGCAAAACAAAAACTGTAAATCTCACAATATTCTCACATTACAAGCAACTGTGTCCTGTTGTCCTTTTAGAACCTTGCATGGATCATGCACATTCTTACTAACTAGCATCAACAACTTCTTTTAGCCAGACATTACCTGAAGACAGAAGCTTGTGAGTGCGTAAGAAACTGATTGCCAGGCGCATTATGGATGCCTTGTCCAGGTGGGAACTGACATTGTGGGGCAGGGGCAGTTCATGAGCCAGTTCGTAGAATACTTCCGTCTCTTTGCTTCTCCTGCATCTTGCTGCATCTCTCGATTTCTCCTTTCTCCGCTCGGAACTGCTCCTACCAGGTAGAGAAGAGAAAGGAAAAAAGCATTTTTTGAAATTCAATTCACAACTTCAGCGAGGCATTTATACGAGTTAGCCTTGTCATCAATGAATCCATTCTGCCAACTGGTTTAAACTTCACTGACCGAATATTAATATTCATTTGCTCATTTAAAGTGGGAGTTAGGGGGGGACTGCTGCAACTGGAAAATCAGCCTTCAGATCCTTTGAGTCCTTGCTGAATGTAACAGGTTCAAGATCTGTTTTAGCCGAGATTAAATATGAAATAGCAAACTATTATTCCTGAGATTCAGTACATGTTAAAAATTGTGTGATATCTAAATTTGTTTTGTTCAATCTACAATAGTTCACTAGCAAAACACTTCAGAATGAGTTGGTAATTCATTCTAAAGCTGGAGAAATTGCAGAGCACATGTGTTTGTGTCACAGATAAAATGAATTGCAATTGTCATTCCCTGCATTAAAATAAAGGTAATAACAGGGTATCCAACTATGTATGTACAGCTGTCTCAGTTCTTAATGCTACTCTGAAAAACCAACTTTCCTTGACCACAAAGAATATAAAATGGAAAAGAAAATACTGCTGCATGCAAGAAATTTTGCCTTAGTAAAAGCTATTTTAAGGAAAACAACATCTCTCCATTGTCCATGAGAACAGACACCTTCTTGAGTGAAACAACAAGACGAATAAAGACAACCTCCCTTAAACACCACAGAGAACAGAAGAGCAGGAAATAACAAAGGGGAAGACATTTTATGAAGCAAGTATACAAAACTAAGCCACCAAGGGACACAAAGCTAAATTTAACGTGAGAAACACAAAGGCTACATTTATTATGGATTTGGGATACAATCGTTTAAAAGAAAACTTCACTGCCTTGTTTCAGAAAATACAATTCTTTTATTTCAGAGCATGAAGAACCCAATGTTATTGGAAAAAAAAAAAGCTCAAAAACTACCAATTGTTTCAACCTAATGAAGCTCTGCTGATATTACAAGTTTCTTTCACTTGCACGGGTTGAGGTTTCACACCGTAATTAGATATATTACACCATAATAGACATATTTTTCTGTCAGAGTTCCACAGTGGAGTATCAGTGCAAATTGCACAGCTCAGATGAGCACAAGTTGTGGAAAAGATCGACCACACCATTTGTGCTGATACACATTCAATCTCTAGAACTCGCCAGTGGTGGGTCTCTTCTTGCCAAGCCTTACAAATATTTCAACTTGCCATTTCCAATGTTAGTGTAAAGTAATGAGTCTTTAAAGCTTAAAAAACTCCCCATCAGGGCAGGACATATCACTAACTATACTCTTTCACATTAAGAAGATGAGGAAACAAATGATGTGACAAATACTAACCACATTGCTTAATCCTATAAGCTGTTCAAATCATGGTTGGTATGGAATAAAACTGCACAAAATAGAGTTTTAATATACAGTAATGCATTTTAGAGAAGGTGATCATTTCTAGAAGATCCTGAGTGACTGCGAAGTTTCTAGCATGGAAACCACAGGTGGCTTAGAAAATTACAAGTAAAATAGCCAGGGTATGTATTAAGTGCTAAGAGCAAAGTTACAGTAAGGTGTGTGTTGGGGTCCACCCAAGGCTGAGTGTTCAACATCATCTTTCAAAGCAGAAAACTGCTCAGAGCACATCAGTAGCACTCCTATGGTTCAAAACACTTGAAGCTGGGCATAAGCATGGGGATCAGATAGGTGGGATGGCAGGTGTTCATTACTGGGTGTGCTAACAGAGAACAGGGCCTCATAAATGCTTATGGTATCTTCTTAAGATCCATGTTCAGCCTTTGGCAAACCTCTTTCACAATTCTTTTGCCTGAGGTGAATATTTTCTGACATGGTATCTGTTACAGGAGATATGTACAAGATGAGACCAACACACTTTTAGTTAGGTAACAGCAGAATTCAGCTGAATAACAACTTCAGTGCATTACAGGAGCGAGCACCAACCCGTCCAAGTCTGAATCTAAAGTATCAGATATTCACAAGGTAACACTAGCTCCTTATTTTTCTCTTTGCCAAGTAAGAGTCAGACTATACACACATTAAAAAAGTCCCTTTACACACAGGTGTCCTTGAAAGTATAACAAAAAAATGCCCTATGTCACCTTGGAATGGGAAAACCAGGTGAATTACTCAATCTGACGCTTCTTTTACAGGTAACTTGCTCTCTTGAGAAAAATGCATCTGTGCAGATTCCACTCTGGGAAAAAAATTCTCAGTTTCTAATTCAGCCACTGAGAAAAAAGGTTAGAAACAAAGGAAAACCAATCCAAACATAAACTATGCAGCAATATTCATGAGAATTTCCAACTGCAGCTTGGAAAATCTAACTTGAACCATGAACACTTAAGCTCTGCTCTAAATCTAAACCCCATGATTTTCATATTAGAACCAACGTGGGCAAAAGATGGCCCAATTCTGTCTCATGTAAATACCAGATTTTGAGAACTAAAGCCAAACCCATGTCGCAATTCATGCAGGGAAAAAAAATGGGTTGTATAAGAGAGGGTAGGGTCTTTCAGGACACCACTCCAGCCACAAAGAAAAATATTTAGTTTTGCTAACATCTGTAAATATAATTACCAATTGTGGCTAATAAGACAAGCTTGTTTCATAATCACAGGTTACCCAAGATTTCTAACAAGTAATGCTATGAGCTGAGAATGATTTTTTTTCTGTGCTGCAGATACCTTCCCTTAGCACTGCTTCCAACAGTAAGTAGCTCCCTGCTTCTCTGCAATGAGACATAGCTCAACGCACACCACCCAGTGTCCTCTTGACTTGGAAAATGAGAGGAAGAGCTGGCCTGTTTGACTGCTTTCTAAAGAGTTCTTGCTCACACATAATCATTTTGAATAAACAAACAATTTGCTTGTTAAGCATTTCCCTGTGTGGTTTCCTGCACCTCAATTTTCCTCCTCTTCTACCCTAGCTCAGCATACCCTCAAGTTGGGTGGTTGTTGTCGTCAGGTAAGTACAATTACACGGAGGCACAAAACAACCCCTGGCCTCATGCCTCACATCATTTCCCCCAAGCAGAGTCTTTACCTGCTTAAAAGACTGCCATCTAGTACTCATTCATCTTGGTCGCACAAAAGCCTCCAGAACATTCAGCCAAGTGATACAGCTCTGCAGAATGCACTATGTTCATGGTTTTCCTTTGCAGGTAGCAGGCCATCTCACTTCCCTGCAGCTGTCCTCCATTTTATTCACTGGGAGAGCTTTTCTCTCTGAGCAAGGTTTGGCTACCCTCAGCCAGAAAGTGAAAATATAACTCCTCAACAACTTTGTCTGAAGGCCAGGCAGAAAGGTTTACATGGAATCCTGCTCACACATCATTAGAGCAATAAAGGCATAGGCTGCAGCTAATTTATGAATCATTCCCTCCCAGCATATAAACCGCCCACTTATGTGGCAAAAACGAGCAAATGTGTGCGTCACTGTTCGGAGAAAGTGGAGCAAGCAAAGGCAGAAACCTTCCTCACCCAAACCCATGCCAGATTTTTAAAAATGCAGGGGGTAATGAGAGGAGAAAGCCACTTCAGATCAACCCATCCATGCACACTTACAAGGGTGGGAGGTCCTGCAGGGAAGCTTCCATAATGCTTTGTACTTTTGGGAGTCCCAGGACCTGCCAGGACCTGGCCCTGCTCCACCAATACACACACATACTCACTCAGTAATCACTGCATGATCACAAACTGTTCCCCTCAAAAAAAACAAGAAAGGAATGGGAAAGCTCAAGTCTCCACTGGAAACAAGGTGATAGAGCTCAGGAGCAGGCCTGGGGTTTCTGGTTAGACTCAGTCCACTTGCTCCCAGCAGCTTCAGTTTGCCTTTTGAAAACAGAAGTCGTGGGCTGCTGCCTGCAGCACTAGCAGTGCTTGGCAGTTTCAGGTGGAGCTCTCAGCGTGTCACAAGTTGAAGCTCTCCATGTTTTCTTCCACCAAGCCAGACAACGAACCAGCCCAAAGTCTACACTCATACCGGCTGCAAATGCTGCCTCACCAGTCAGGAAAACTCAACTGGGAGCAAGAGTGCCTGGTGCAGATGACAGAGGTCAGATTCCCATCCCCTCGCTCACCCCAGCATCCTTGCAACACAGCTGTACTGAAATCAATGGGAATGCCAGCAGATGAAGGTCTTGCTTGAGGTTCAGATCATAATCTGACTTCCAGCAGGCTCTCCAGCTGCCGTGCTGGAAACTTCAGGCTTGGAAAAAGCTGAACCCTCATATAACCGCCCCTGCCCAAACAACTTTGTAAAACTGTCATGTCATCCTGGGGACCTGTCACCCCTGGCAGCTCCAAACCTCTGCAGGTGGGAGCAATCCCAGTCTTCAGTTACCCATGGAAGCCCTTGGAACTTACTCAGCTGACGATGGTGCCGGGTGGTCAGCCTCAGCCATGCTCCTGATGTCTAGGGAGGGTGGCAACCTCCTTGCAGCTTGCGGAGTGGATTGCACTGTGTCCCAGGCTGAGATAGCAACTTCCAGCTCAGTGTTTCACTGCTCTCAAGTCCACATGGATCAATACTTTGCTCATGTAAGACTAGGCAGCACAGTAACTGCACTGTATTACCTTTCTACCTTGTAGGTGCCAGAACACAGGAGATTTTAGTGAAATCACAGCCTGCTCCTCGCATAAGAACACCTTATTTGCAGTCTGGTAGTCTTCACTCATACCTGCACACTGTGTGACACAGACATAAAACCTTTTGAAATACATAGCTCAGACTGACTTCCTTCAGTTTCCTTCCCTATTTTGGTGACCCTTGGACTTTGCTTCAGACTGCCTTCCATGCAAACTAGTAAAACAGCAAACATATTACTTTATATCCACCGGCTGGTTATTAAATGTTTCTAGTTCCAGCACTTTAAAGGTCAAGAATCCAGAGTTAATTAAGCTGTCATATGAAATTTCTGAAGTAAACTCGCATTTCAAATGGCTTAGAGTTAAGCCTCAAATGCTAACTTATAGAGCAAGAAAAATACATTCTAGGGATGAAAAGATAAGAAAATATTTTACAGTACACACAAAGCAAATTAAAAAACGGGGTGGATGTTTAGCATAAAAAAATTCCAATTTGTAAAAATATTTTAATGGGCAGTACTATCCTAGATAACAACAAAGATTTATTTCAAACCAGCAAATCCACTTTTTGCAGCGTGTTTACATTTTGCTTTACCTTTTGCTTAGCAAATCCCTAGATGATTTAAGCCACCACCATATCTAAAAAGGAGTTTTGCTCCATAGCTATCTCGGAACCGTACCATCTGACAGCTCAGAGATGTGCCTGCATGTGCACCAAGCAGCCAGCGGTCATGCTTATTTAGCCTTGAAATTCCTTTAAAAATAATTCACTCAGCTTTGTAACCATTCTATCCAACAAGCAGTTTAATCTGGATGGCACCCTGTGCTTTTTGAAAGTCCCCTCCATTAGAGCAATAAAAGTGACCATCAGTAAATAAAGATACTACAAACTCACTCACACCAGGAAACCAGGCCCAAATATGCAAGCTGTCAATGAAATCCAAACACAGTGCCATACAGATCCCTCCTTATACGTGAACACGTTCCAGTGAAAATAATTGTTTCTAAAATCTGAAAAAGCACCAGATGAGCAAGTTTGGCACACCAGTGGGAAGGGGAAGAACAGAGTTATGCCTCAACTGAGGAAAAAAAAGAAAAGATTTGAAAATGTGTAGTGTTCATGGCTGTAAAGTGCTAAAGTGGCACTGTTGCACATTGGAAGATGGCACCCAGTACTCAGGCAAAATGAATATGAACTCCACCAAAACAAGGATTTGTTAATAGAGGAAATGAGAGTTCGAAGGTAACAAGAAAAGTTACTAACAGAGAAGGCTATTACAAAAATAAGGAAATGAAATACCTTCCACCCTTCCTTTAAATCTGCTTTGACTTACCACTGATTCCTTGGTTTGACTGGGGGGATTTTTCGTATTTTCTGCACATACCCACTAAACAACAAATTGCTGCTGCTGGTTTAATAAACATAGGCACCTACTGCTATATCAACATGTGATGAGATTCTTTCCTCCAAGTTTAAAAGCTGAGTCTAGATTTTATGAGTCAGAAAATACAAAAGACTTAGATCAGAAAAAGGCTCACATTAAGAACAATGTTAGCACGATAACTGTGGGACTTGGCTAGTCTGAGTAGTGTAGCAAGAGATGAAGCTTAAGAGAACACTGGACTTCTAGTATTTTTAAGTTGAAAATACTGATGATTCACTAAGTCTACATCACTCTACTGTCGCTATGGCTTACAATAACATAGATGTGAAAATGCTTTCTTGAATAGGAAATACATCAGATCTTTAGATGGGTACAAGAAAGACAGAGCCAAGCTCTTTTCAGTGATATCCAGTGACAGGACAAGAGACAATAGGCACAAACTGGAAGATGAAATTCTATCTAAACACTAGAATGGACTCCTTTACTATGCGAGTGCCAGAGCACTGGCTCAGGCTGCTCAGAGGGTTTGTGGAGCCTCCATGGTAGGAGACCTCCAGAAACTGCCTGGGCAGCCTGCTCTGGAGAGTCCCACTGGAGCTGGGGTTGGACCAGATGGATCTAGAGAACCCTGCAAACGTCAACCGTGCTGTGATTCTGTGAAGTCCCATATGAACTTTAAAACTACATACAACACCAACTTCCTTAATGTCTGAAGCTCTGATGGTATCAGCAGTCCATAATCCTAAACTGTAATTACACATTTCTAGATGTGCAATTTCTTTTTTAAATGAAACTTCCTGGGATTTACTTAAAAAAAAAATTACCCTAGGATAAACAGCATTACATTCATACATTTTAAAAACATTTATATCATTTACATTCAATACAGTTGTTAAGATAAACTCTTTGCACCTCTGTTTTTTAGTACCAACATGAATACGTTATCACGGCAGCTAAAGAAAAGTACTTCTGAAGTTTGACGTTGAGAACCTTACTGAGGCTGCTGGACCCTTCATATTTTTTTAAAGCTTTTAGGTTTGCAATATGTCATCAGAGTCTGATAAACGTAATCATAGTAAGCAAAACAATGTCCACAGGATTTACGTCCTACCGTTTTCTCTCATTTTATGAGTACCTTGAACTGGAGAGATAAGTATTAGGATTTCATCAACCATTAATCTGACCAGGGATTATTTTACAATGTTGAGAGCACAGCCCATTCGTCATTCACCATACCAGCATGAACCTGGCACCTCAAAGGATATGCCGAACGTGGATACTCTCAGGCTAGGATCAGCCACCGGGAACCTCATAAGGCCTATGACACGTAGAAAAGATGTCAGGCTGCTGCTTGATCAGCAGGTAGAACAGATGCAGGCATTGCCTTTTTGACTTTTCAACACATTTCTTGCATTAAGGCTAGAAGAGTGCAGTATGATGGAGAAGTAGTTCTTATAGCTCCAAGTGCCTGCACTCAGGAAGGAGTGGTGATGGCCCCAGAAAGTGGCAGGACAGCTCTGGACCATCCTGTAATGCTGCAGAGCACGCTCAAGCAGATGAGAGAATCATTTCCGCAGTCTTCTCAAATACTAAGGAAATTGCAAAGGAAACAATTCCCAGCACATGGCCAAACTACAACCAGAGGAGCACAAAGATTTCTAAACTTAATATTCCCTCCTGAGACTGGTTTTGCATCTCTCTGCTCTATTAAGATATGGGATCATGGATTCCTTCCCTGTGGCAAGCAACTCTTTGATACCAGCCAAGACATAGCAAGCTTCAGAGATAACTTGTAGACTAAAAGGAAAAACAGAACCACTGAACACAACAGAAAGGACTGTTTCTACATTGGCTGAAATTGAACATGCTTGCAAACAGCCATTTTTGTAGCGAAAAATATACAACTCTGCTTTACTTCACTGTTTCTGCTCTCACATTCAAGAGTACCTGCAGCACAGTTAGAGCTGGAACTGCAAACCCGACCATGGGGATAAGGTTATGACAATGCACAACCTGAGATTTCTATCAGTGATTTGTGTTCTGAGGGATTACAGATTCTTATCTTGTGGAATTACTTGTAGTAATCAGTCAATTTTGACAGCTAATCTAAAGGTCCATAAGTATTGTTGCTCAGAAGCTCAGCAGGTATTGCTGAGATCTGTTTTCAGATAGCCCAACTATTTACCTACTTTAAAAAAACACATACCAAAGGATGTGCTTTATCTCCTCACCAGTGGGTTAAAGCTAAAGGTGAACGAAGTGCAACTCACAGACTATAAAGTTAAATCCCAAACCAGCTCCATTTTTCAGTTGGGACACTGACCGCATCCCAGTCCATACCCAACCACAATGAGAATTATTTATCAAGATGGTGCAACTGCGGTTAAACAGGGACAAATTTTCAGTCAAGCTTTATTTCAAGTCTAAGGGACAACTGTTGCCATCACATGATGATAATATCACTAGCAAACATACCTACCCTGGTAGCACTTCAGCTGCAAACACCCTCAACTATAAACAGCTGAAAGAGTCACATTGAAACTTGTTGACAAACACTGAATTTTACAGTCCAATATGTTATGAAGTGGGCAATACATGCTGAAATTTACGGAGCCTGTGGTCAAAATCTCTGGCATTTCAGCAGGCTCAGCCTTATATCCCCAGCCATTTTATCTCATCGCACTGGCACATATGCTGACAGGTTTGCAGAAGGGGCCTTTGTGGATAGGAACAATGAGAGAGGCGCGCACAGAACAGGAAAATGGGTGGTGACCACCAAGGACTGGAAAAAAAGCTTCTTTCAAAGGAAGGTCTTTGAAAACATTCATTACACCCCACCCAGCTATTTTCACTACAATATTTCAGTACATAAAACAACACAGGGAAAATAAACAGACCACTCTTAAAAATGATGTAGGATCTCCAGTCCCTGAAAAAAGACTGCTGAGCCATAGTGCTACAGAAATCTTCACCAAGCACAGTTGTGTAAGAGGTTTGCAAGCATCTAATGTAACCTTGCTCTAGCAACAGTCTCGTGTACATCCAGTTTCTCTAAATAAGCAGAGTAAATTAGGCAATTTTGCTTTCAGAGTAAAGCCATCAACATTTCAAATGGTACGGGTTGGTAAATAAATGACAGCAAGTATTCATAGGGATCATAAAATGAATACATTGCAACAACTTTAAAGAAGTGTTACAGAAGTGAATGGTTTTCCACAATGCATTCCAGTTGTGCTTTTTGTTTTCTTGTTTGCCAATTTCACCAGTTAAAGTTAGAACTAATAAAATGTTTAGGATAGAACAGCTGAGAGACAGAAAAGGTGCAATGAAACTGATCTGTAATGAAATGGGGCTCCTAAATCAGCACATATTCAAGGGTAGAGCCCAGGCTTTCACCAAGGCTTGTCGCCACCAGAGTTGGTGAGGTTACAAGTAGAGCACAGAAAGAGCAAGCAAACACCCCCTCCCAGCCTTGGGAATGCAAAATGTCCCTCCTTCTTGTAAGGTTTTAGGCTGCTCTGTGTTAATGCCTTCCATAGTGATCTGAACTCTAAATTCAGGCAGCAGAGCACCTTTAAAGAAAATTCAGCCAGCCTGATGATCACATTGCTTTGCTTCAAGCACTCAGTCTTTGCACTGCACGCTCAAAAGACAATGCATAAAAGCTCAAAACAAAATGTTTTTTCTCTTTTAAAGAATGTCCAAAGAAATCATCTAAATTACTTTGCAACACTGTCTGATAAGAAGCCACGTCTTTCCAAAGTGTCAAATCCTTTAAACACTGCTGCTAATAAAGCTAAGAAAACAGCTCTTGTAATAAAATCTTTATGAAATGATGTTGACTCTTCTTTACTTTTTGAGCCTTGATCATTTTAATATGTGCTCAGTTATGATGCAATTTAATGGTCTCTCCATCTCCTGACTTGTGGTCACTTGAAGTCATGAACAATAAGATGGATGTCCAGAGACCCAGAAGGACAGATTAAACAGCCACTTCTCTAGCAAGAAGGGAACAATAATTCTTAAGAACAACAATACAGACATTCCTTAATTTTGATTATTCCATGTCACACAATTTCCTCAACTTCCTGAAACAACTATCCAGTGTAAATCCTAAGAACCAGGCTGCATTTTTTGCACTGTGGAATGCAAGTTTTGTCTGCACACGTGTCCTGGGACACAGATCATTCTCAGTTCCAGCCTTTCTTTCAGATGGCTGTTATTTTACAGAGTACCACTTCAACTGTCCATCTCCTCATAATTAAGCCATCAGGTAAACTGAGATGCAAGTGATAACTTCACATAGTGTGATTCTAATCTCTTAGTATTGAGGTCTGTTACTCATTTAAACTGATAAAATAGAAAATCAGTAGCTTGATGTACATCAGAGGAATTGGTGCCCTAACTACCCACTCTTGTACACACACCTGATTACCACCCATCAGTAACTGCCTGAGCCAGGCTCTTTCAAATAACTGTGGTGGGAAGAATAAAGAAACCATTGATCACAAAGTATCACAAGTCACTTCATCACTTATCTGTCACTTATCTGAAAACAATCCTCATGATTTCATAGTAAAGCCTTCTCCTTGACTGCCTGCGTCACTGTAATGAGTACTCTCATGGCTGACCTGCCTCTCATGATCTGGCAGAAACAAGAGAGACATTGAAACTGTGGTACTTGAGGAGGAAACAGTCGTGGCCTCTCCACACTCAACTACAGAATTTCAAGTATTCTAAAAATTAAGGCTTGGTTTGGTCAGGAAATGGCCGCCAGCACATCTGATCCATAGCCCTAAATAATTAATTGCTCACTACACAAAAACTTGCAAAGGGAACTGATAGCAATAAGGGCTGTCTGCATTTTCTATTACAAACCAAGAATAACCGGACACAATCATTCTTTTTCAGCATTCCTTGCTTTATCTGTGTTTTTTTTTTTTCCTACTGCTGCCTACCGACTCTTTAAATTCCTGTGTACCTAAAGAATCAGAGAATGGCTGCTCTAGACAAGTATAGAAGGTGATGATGAATAGGAGGCAGCAAAACTGGGAA